TGGCTTCCCTGTATGTTTTTAATGTTAGAAGGTGCTTCAATTTATGTTTCGTCAACTCATTCTTCCAAACTCTGAAATCAGGACCTAGCTCTCTATTCTCAAGAACATTGTTCATCCTTTGAAAAGTAAACTTTATATCTCTCCACACAGACAAATGAGGCATTTTATTGTTCCCAATTTTAGCCGAGTCAATATCGATATGAGCAATCTTATCGCGACTAGGGAAAGCCTCGATTTTTCCTGTAACACGATCGTCAAATCTTACCCCAAATGCAGGTCATTGTTTTCCACAGCATAATTCACATACATTGTTGCATGCCTAGCATCCCCAAAGATATTTTTTCTGTTGCAAAGATAAATACTCAATTCCATTAAGCAACTCGCCAGGAGAATTTCAGTTAGCTCGACAAATCTACGTAATTCATCGCTAGAATTAATGCACCCACCTCTTATGTATCGGACATGACGCTTAGATTTAAAGATCAATCTAACAATTTGTAGTAGGTTGGAGGCTTTTGGCGGTTTAGGAAAGGAAGAAAACTGAGCAGGTAATTTCATTGGATGTTCCCAATTAAGAACCCCAAGTTGTTATTGAACATCCTTAGGTACATCAATCATAATTGGCCTAGGTCGTTGCGAGAAAGAACGCATTCTCCATGATTCGTGGAGAATATTAAGAAGACCAATTTTGGGTTTTTTTTTAAATACTACAATTGGTAAGAATTTAGTATAGGTTATATCATTTAAATCGAAATTGCTCTAGCCAACATGAACAATGTGGCATTAAAAGCGATCTTGCAGGTTGTGGGGTTATTTTGCAAACCGGCCCATATACTATAAACTTATCGTTAAAATGTTATAAGAGCAGGTCAAAAGTTACGACTTATGTTTTGAATCCAAGCTCAGTAATCAGTCATCCGCAGTAAGTTATTAATGCTTTCTCATGTTTCCATTTTTTCTGACATCCAATGGAAAATATACAGACAACTTGAAAAATTTAAACTCAATATAATTGAACTATTAAGACGAAAATTTTAAATAAATTTATGGAATTAACATTTCCTAATACACCAAAATACAAGCTTACTCTTCTTCCTGCCAAGTATACAAACACACACCATCAAATTGAATTACTTGTTTTTGCTTAAAACAATTAATATTGGGTTTCTTGTGATTAAAATACCCATTTTGTTCCTATTTCCATTCAATCTGTTTGTTGGCCCGAAACCAAAACTGTTGGAAATTTTATAACTCAGTCTAACTCAGTCTTGACAAATAATGGGAAAGGATCATAAAAAAAATATTTAATCATGTAGCTTTGGCTTGCACGTAAATGACTCTCTGTAAAACATATTTAGAGATTGAGCTAAATCCATCCGAAGTCCTTTCCTCTCATGCCCGTCAGATGACAAAAAAAAAAATTATCTTTTCTTTCAGTAGTTTAGTTTTTTTTTATATCCTCTACCTATTAATTGAGAATGTAGTTTAATAAAAAATATTGATTTGTTTTAATTTGATTGGTTAAAATCCCTTCTCTATCCTAATTAAATGTGACATGGAAATGATGATGTGTAATGATGATGTAATTATGACATGACATTTACTAACACATGTGGTTTATAACATGACAAAAAGATTTTTTGTGATATTTTCATTTATAAAAAAATTAATTAGATGACAAATTTAGTGTACTAATAACTAAATGAATGATTCGTCAGATGCATTATGAATCTGATATTATTATTCATCTATATGGGTAATAGCATATGAATTTTGGGCTGAACGTGATGATTTTAATACACACATATATATATATTATAATACTATAGATAATACTATATTATATATATTAAATTTACTATAGCTCTGTCGTGGATCACTATAACTTTCCATATAGATACACACATATCTATATATATATATATATATATTATAATACTATATTCATATGGAATACATGCACATATATTTTCATATATTTCAGTAGACGAAATTATAATAACAAAATCATATTTATCAAATCGTTTACTTAATAATTCATACTTTTTGTAAAGGCAGTGCTCCATTTACATGCACATATGTTTTCACATACTTTAGTTGACAAAACTATAATAATAAAATAAGATATTATTGTGATCTTCTGTAGAACATTCAAAATTTTAAAATATTAGTTTAGTTTAAAAATAGTAACAAATATAAATATAAGATTTCGATTTAATAATCCTCTACATTATTGTTTGTAACAAAAGTTGAATATCCTAAAAAATCAGCGTGCATCTAATGAAAAACCAAAATCATTATCCTCTTCATTATTTGAAAAGTTTAATGTCCATTTAATAAAAACCAAAAAGATCCATATAAAATCACGTTCATCCCAAATAACTAATGAAAAAGTTAGATACTCAGATCCTTATATAAGAAAACATCACAACACAATGAGTATCAAACAAATCAAACCCTAACTCAAAGCGCGGGCATGTCAATTCTACCAATCCATTTATCTAAATCGAATATGGCCAAAATGAAACTTGAAGGTTGTATAGACTCCAATCGTGAGTGTAATGAAGAAAGGTTTTATCGCTACACTGAATTTCCAAACAAACGGGTTTGACATTAAAAAATTAAGAAGTGGCTCCCTCGCAACAGAAAAAACAATGTTCCCTACGATATTAGCCTTCCAGAAGTTTCAGAAGAATATGATGAACTTTTCTACCTAAAAATGTTACTAAATGTTCAGAGAAGATCAGTATGTTTAAAAAAATAATAGAACAGTAAACAAAGTTTTATATTCAACCTTCGCTGAAACATGTCTTGCAATAGGGTTAATTGAAGCATTTGATGCTTAAGTGGAGATGGTCTTGCAATTATTTGTAGAGTCTACTTGATAAAATTATAAGTAGAAAAATCGCACATATAAGTAGATTGAGACCAACAATGACGGAATCCTTGAAGAAATAATGCTTTAAATTGAGGAAGATTATAGGAAGACAAAGAAAATGAAAAACATTTGTTCAAAAAAAAGACAGAGAAGATAAAATTTGCAGCTTGATCCACAAATTCGAAGAAGGTAACCAGCTATCCACGGGTTTGATCCATTTGACCCTCTAACATAACTGGTCAAGTTTTACAAAGCCTGATCATGGAAAAATAAGTTTTGTGTTTTCCAAATTTAATTATTATTTTTCAAATCTGTCTCAAAATATAAATGAACCTTTTGTTATAACAAAATGTTTAGTTAAAATTAGATCATATTTTACTACTTAATTTAAAATCTTATAATTCAAAACACTGACCTTGAGTTTCATATATTACAAAAAATTAAAATATTTAAAACGAATTTAGATATTGTATTTAGATAATTACATTTTAAAAATTGTTCATGCCCGCATATGCGTGCGGGACAATATCCTAGTATTGTTGAAATCAAGTAAAAATTATAACTCTAGATTATTTATTTTATTTCATTACACATATATACACAATTCTCTATCACCTTTCTACTTGTTTATTAGTTTGATCAACTAGAAAATATTTCATTATCTAGTAGGAACTGAAAATAAAGAGAGAGTTCATAACACCCCCACCACACCAAATAGTTTAAAGATTTCTTTTTGGCGCCTAATTCTCATGTTGTTCAGACGTCGATAGTATTACGATCTGCCAAGAGATCATACTTCCCACAACAAAGAAAAGGCCTGAGTATAGAGATGTTGTGGGAGGTCTCATCATGTGGACGACTTCCTAGATGAATCATGAATGTGAGTCGACCAGAGATGAATCTCTTTTCCTTTGTACAATACAAAGAGAAAGGCCCACCAACGGCGATTAGCGTCCCAGTCACCTTAGCTTTCCCATGGCTCGATTTAAATTGTACACTCTCCATCTGTACAATAAAATCTTAGCAATTATGTGTGTTTGATATTTCTAAATCCTTCTATAATAGATTCGTATCAAAGTTTGACTTATTGGTTCAATATAATTTTTGACCAACTAAAAGTAAAAAAAAAAAAAATCCAATGAATCCTACTGGATCTGTTCACAGCCATTAGTATTTGAATAGCGATTTGTGTATAAACATTACTCCCTAGGTTTCATAATATAGGAGGCTTAATTTTAAATATATATATATATATATATATATCCTCACATTTCAATGCAAATTCTAAGCTTTCAAAATCAATAAAGTACATTTTGTTATCTTTCACAATAAATAAAGTAATTACGTTGTCCTACGTAGTATTAAGTTTTTCGAATTGGTTATATTACTTTTATGAATAACATAACATGCGTGTTCTGTGTGATCTGTCAAAATTTTATGACCTTTACATATTATTTCAGTCAAAATGAACATTATACTAATTTTATGTACCACTCTCATAATTTCATATACGTATATATATATACAACTATATATAGTCATACCCTTCAAAGTATATTTAATTGACATTTTCATCTAAAATTGTATAGAAGAAGTTACATTAATAGCATTTTTCTTAAATAAGAAAATAAAACTAACGAGCTTTAATTCCCAAAACATGGTTGTTTTTACTTGTGTATTTGTAACTAGAAAAAATTGAGTAATTATATTAATAGCTTTGATTGTATCACTTGTACTAGTTGTACAAACCAAAATAATGTTTCTTAGTCACACACAAGGCAATGTGAGACACACAGAAAAAAGTTATGTGAGAATTTTATTGTTTTCAAGTATTATTAGGGATTAACATCATCGTTAATTAGTCTCTAATGTGTATCAATGAGCAGGTTTTAAACCCTCAAACTATGCGTGTATGACAAATAAATAGTGCTTCATATGCATGATTGGTTGAATATTTATCTGTGGAGTAACATTACTTAAAAGTAAATATAATTGATTTGACACATGGTATTTTCTGCAGAAAACTGAAACTGGACTATCTTGATCTGTACCTGATTCATTGGCCGGTTAGCTCAAAAGTTGGTAAATAAAAGTTTCCCATTGAAAAGGTGATTTTCTACCAATGGATTATGAAGCAGTTTGGTATGAAATGGAGGAGTGCCAAAGGCTCTGGCTTGCAAAGTGTATAAGAGTAAGCAACTTTTCATGCAAGAAGCTCCAACACATCCTCTCTATCGCCAAGATCCTTCCCAGCATCAATCAAGTATATAAACATTCTCATCCACAACAAGTTTTTTTTCTTCATCTTTTCATTTTTTTGTTAGAAGTGGTTGATATATTTGTTTACAAATGAATGTGAAATAAGGTGGAGATTAGTCCAGTATGGCAACAGAGAAAGCTAAGGGAGCTTTATAAGCCGAATGACATTGTTGTGACAGGTTATGTAGTGTTGGGATCAAGTGGGGCCTTTTGGGGATCTTCCAGAGTTTTGGAGTCTGATGTTCTCAAAGAAATTGCTGAGGTCAAGGGAAAAACTGTTGTACAGGTACTCTCCAAACATCTCATATTCTAGATAATTTTAAAAGTATATAGGACCATAAATTTGAGATGTATTATTATGCATTCCTTGAATCCATGAACCATATCAGTAGACATAATTAGATTAAAATGATGGAACATAAGACCATGTGCAATGCAGTATCTTAAGTGAGTTTCTAAACATAAAAAACTATTAAAACTGTAAAAAAAGAAGAGAAAAAGTTAGATACAACTCTTATTCAAAAAATTAAAAAACTACTTTGAAAAAATAAGATACTTTAAAATTAGGTGGCATTATATCATTGGTTCAATTATTTTTATATTTAAAGATTAATGTTAAAATTAAATTATATTAATATAATATATGTAAGAATTTTTTGTAAGAGATTTCCCCATTGAACATGGTCTAAATGACTACTTGGTTTTGGGTTTTGTAAAATTGTTGACAGGTGAGTATGAGATGGGTGTACGAGGAAGGAGTTAGCATGGTGGTAAAGAGCTTTAAGAAAGAGAGATTAGAGGAGAATCTGAAGATATTTGATTGGTCTTCGACAGAGGAGGAGAAACAGAGGATCTCGACAGCGATGCCTCAGTGCAGGACCGTCGTTGGAGATGTTTATATCTCTGAGAAAGGTCCCACATCAAATCTGTCGCTGAAATGCGGGACGGCGAGATTTGATCACTTCCTCTTACGATAACTATTTGGATTTTGCATGAATAAAGAGTTTGATACCTATTTGGACAAATCCAGAATCTTAGTTTTAGACTTTACAAGCAAATGAAGGATTTCTTATAGGGCAAAAGTATTCATTTGAGCCGCTCAACGTCAGCAAAACTATACCTGAAAAAATCGAATTTACAGAAGAAAAAAAATAACCTAGGCCTGGTCTCCCAAGACCATTTCCCATGGTAAGAATTCCTCATGGATTCTTAACCTTATTTTTAATATAAATTTTAAAAAAATTGAAACGAAAAATCTCTTTAAGAGTTCTTAAGAATAAAATCCCAATTGGAGTTTTTAAGAATAAAAAAAAATTAAAAAAACTTTATCAAATCACAGAGCGATATGTCAGAAGTTCTAATAAATTCTAATAATTCTTTTGTGAAAACCGGTTCTGATCAGAATTATCCATTTTTTATTTAATTTTGATCAATTAAATTATCAGAACCTCTTCTCAAAACCCTTTTTATTAGAGATGCTCTAATTTGTTAAAACATTTTAATAAATAACATGGCTGCAAAAAGAATAATAAATAGTAAAGCTCTTTGCTTTCATGGAGTCAGAGTATGAAATTTTACATCCAAAGCTCTTATTTCAAAAAATAAATCAGAATTTAATCTTTAATTTATCTTCTACCTATTAATTGAGAATATAGTTTAATGAAAAATACTGATTTGTTTTAATTTGATTGGTTAATATGTTTAGTTTGAACAATTTTAATGTGACATGGAAATGATGATGTGTAATGATGATGTAATTGTGACATGTCAGTTTTTAGTACACATGGCTTGTGACATGGCATTGTTTAATCTATAAATAAAATTTGATGTTAAAATTTTGATACAAAATTGAAATATTGCAATTTTTGACAAAAATTTTGAAAAATTATATTTTTGTTAAATAGTTACATTTCGACACAAAATTTTTGTCAGAAAAATTTACAGATTTCAAGTATTTAGCGGAAAATTTGTGACAACCTATTTAGCCACAAATTTTTTGATATCTCACGAAATCAAATTAAAATACTCTAAAATAAATATTTTAGTGGAAAAGTTACAATTCATTTTTTGTGGAAAATTTCTGAAATCGGGTTTTCATAGAAGTTTTTTGAAATTATATTTTTAAATAATTTTTTTGACGAAAGATATACGGTTTCACTTATATAACAGAAAATTTATGAAATCAAAATTTTGACTGTCATTTTTTGGAATCAGATTTTTAATGTAAAGTTTTTGGTGAATTTTTTTTATGGATTCACTTTTTGGCGGGAAATTCACAAAATCAATATTTTGATAAAATGTTTTTAGCTCATATTTTTGACGTAATTCTTTTGGTGCAAAAGTTACTTATTTATGTTTTTAGCATGAATTTGTTAAATCGGTTTTTAGATGGAAATCTTTGAAATCTTATTTTAAGTAAGTTTTTAGTGAAATATTTACAAGTTCAATTGTTTGTGTGAAATTTTGCGGCATCAGATTTTTAGATTAAGAATTTTTTCACTTTTATTATCATCTTACTTTGTCTCACTATAAATAAAGATCAAAAGTTTATATTATATGTGAATGTATTTCAATTATATATTGAGAATTACGAACCAGAAATAGGATGCACATATGTGAGAATTACGGCCCAATTTATTAAATCTATTAAAACATTTTTTAACAAACAAAAATTTCTTATAAATATATTACCAAACAAGTCAATTACTTATCTATTACTAATAATATATATTATTAATAATTAATTTTTTATAAAATTTTCATGTCCGTACATATGTGTAGGCCAATTACTTAGTAGAACTGAAAACATAATGTTGAGATGGTAAAATTAGTGAAATACTATCTCAATGTGGAATAACCTATATTTGTGATCATTTGGTTCACTTTAGGTAACCGATCAACTAAGTATGTAGAACTTGCTTACCTGTTCAAAAATACAATTTATTATAACTCAATCACACTATTTGAGTAGAGCTGATGAGTTAGTATAATCTCATTTTCATACTCGTGTTCGTGTAACGTACAAGGACAATGCTTTTGAATTTGGCTATTAGTTAATAGAAGAAACATATTTCTAGTTTCGCGAACATTAAATATTTAGAATATCTTAGCAATAAAGTGCATACAAATATCTAATTTCAGGAGAAGGAACACAAATATCTTACTTTTCAAGCCCTTTCTTGAGTGAGTCAACATTTCAATGTTATGCGAAATCATCAAAATCTACGAATAGTAGATCGAGAATAAAATAACATTACGGGTAGAGACACGTGTCGACCTTCTCCGGTTTCACGTGTTTAGGTAATCACATTAGAGATAATTAAATGTTTAGTATATGATTCACCTAATGGACAATCAACACGTAGCGTATCAATTTTGGATGCTTTAAACTCACTCACAAGCGTCGTGTCAGTTTCTCAGAGATTTGAAGTCCTCAAAAGCCGATAATGCTTGCACTAAGACAACAATAATGACGTATATAATCTTGTTCCCTAATTAAAAATGGTCCGTGTTTATGAATGAAGCCGTTGCCACGTGTTTGATTTTCAAAATTGGACCCACTATTTTATACGTATCCACTTTAACACTTTTTCTAATCCAATTTTCTCGTTATTTTTTTTGGTAGGTTTTTGTTGCTCCCAATTTGTTGTTATATGATAAGTAGGGTTTATTATTATTAGATTGTATAATTCGCCTGATTGAATATAATAATATTTTTTAACTTGGAAGATATTTCAACCTTTTTAACCTCAAAAATTAGATATTTAAAAAAGACAGTAAGTTAAATCGAATATCTGTTATACATTTGTGCGATCAAAACGCGCTTGCAGTGTCGCGTACGTGTGTTATGGATGCGTACTTTGTGTTTATGTGTTATATAAATCCATGTTCTATATTATTATCTTAATAAGAGTTGATTATTTTAACCAAAAGGCAAAAGTGATGATTATCCGGTCTAATCTAGTGTAAGTCTATGGTTTTTCCAGGTTGGAATGGTTAAGTTGTCGGCCTGATAACAGGACACGTAGCACAATTAGAAACACATGTGAGATCTTATTCACTAACACAAATTCATTTTTGATTTTTGTTCTCAATAGTTTATTCTATCTAGATTACTGATTTATTCACTGGTAATTAAATAGATTTCGTGAAGAAAAAATTGATAACAATTATAGAAGTGGACAAAAAATTTAAAAACGAAAAAAACTAGACCAAACTAAACTTAAATGAGGTGATTTGCTTTAGGTTTTAATTTAATTATATCAATTAACAAATTTAAAAATCTGTTGGTTTTAATTTAGTTTTGGTTTAAAAATGAAATCAAACATGCTGGTTTCTCAATTCAAATTTAAACTAAATTAAAAAAAAATTTCAACAAATTCAAATATTTTTTGAAGTTGCTTTCATCTAGAAATTATATGATCAAAAAATTTATGATCTGCATCTATATTGCAACACTACATATTTTTTATGGCCATAGATTTTGGTATTGATCATGGGTATTTGAATTTTTTTTTTTTGTATTTTTCAGACAATTATGATCAAGTTTTTAGAATTAATATTGAGAAATCTGTGGCCTTTTGACAAATTTCTTGTGATAATTGGCTAAATATAATAACAGTTTTTTTTTTTACATTAGAGTATAAGGATCGCATGAAATGTGTTTGTCCACTGGTTAGTCTAAACATATTTATAAGCTTAAAAAATAAAACAAGAGCTTTCCCAATTCATTCATAAATCGAAATCAAAGATCGCCCATATTCTGGCTGGCTTCATGCCGACAGTATGGACTATGGAGTGTGGACTATCTTGTTTGATATGATTGACCGGATAGATGTAGAGATCATTCAGATATAAAGGATTAGCAAATTATGTCAACAATAATAGTAACAAGTTATATTAAGATTTATTCATTAAACTCTTTGCTACTCCACGATAAAGTGTGCTGAAAAATACATTTTTGAGTATATATAGCGTCGCTTTCCAACGATTTTCGTGGAAAGGACATATTTGTGTAAACTAAGAAGGATTTTGACGGGTGTAAATACATGCAAAAATACTTAACTTTCGACCAATCACAAGATAACACGACTCCATATTTATTAGAGGCTGTTAATCAAAGTCTTGCATATTTTGCTTAGAATAATACAAAGAGTGACTCATCAGGGAGTAGAGAAAATATCTCAGGATTTGCTTTTGGCTCCAGCATGTCAAACTATCTAGATGCCAACACAAAGCGCACATTAAACAATATTATTTCCAATAATAATAGAAAAAGAGAAAATTAAAAACTATATAATATACAAAAGAGGAAGGAATCCATCATCAAAAGTTCATAAAATGCATTATAATATAAACCCTTTTGCTTCCTTGTCTCTCCCTCTTTCTTCTCCATATATACTTCATCTTCACACCCCCTAAACTCCACAGACAAAATCTCTCTCTGCAAATTTCTCCAGACTTCTAAGCTTTCAAGTTCTACTTCTCTCTAATTCAGTTTACATTTTCCTCTATTGAAATTAATTCAAGTTCAAATTTAATTTCAGTGAAGTTAAACCAAACTTTGTTTACACTGAAACCGGTATGGATCCTTCCTATAAATTCATAAAAGAAGAGTTTCCTACAGGATTTAGTGATTCTCCTTCACCACCATACTCTTCAACTTCCTCTTACCTATATTCAACCTCCATGGCCCCAAATGATCCCACAATAACATTGAGCTCTCCCCAACCAATAGAAGGTCTCCATGAATCAGGGCCACCTCCATTTCTCACAAAGACATATGATTTAGTTGAAGATTCAAGAACCAATCATGTCGTGTCTTGGAGCCAAACCAATAACAGCTTCATCGTCTGGGATCCACAAGCCTTTTCAATGACTCTCCTCCCCAGATTCTTCAAGCACAATAACTTCTCTAGCTTTGTTCGCCAGCTCAACACATATGTGAGTCCCAACTAATCTCTCTCTCTCTCTAAATATATATATATACATATATATGAAAGTATGAATGTTATGTGTAATTCTATCTGAGGAGGTTTTCTAACTCACAATCAAATCGTGACTTCAACTATTGGGTCAAAACTTGATTTTGTGGACTTTTCCAAATGGTTCTCTCTAATTTTTAATCGAGTTCTTGAGACTTAAGCTTTTGATTGGTGTCTTTTTCGGCGTTTTTGGCATCCATCAGAGTGGTTAATTAGTGTTAATTATAATATATATGATTGCTTGAAGGATTCTTGAGTATATATATATAAATGCAAGTGGGCATCACTGTTCTCCGAAAAATCTCGAGACTTAAAATATTTTACACCCCACTTGTGTGTGTTGTGTCTTTTTGTCTCTAGAGATCTCTTGAAACCTTGAAACGGAGCTTATACAAATGTGAAATGTTATATATCTCTAGCAAAGGAAATTTTTACAACATTGATATACTGATATGATATGCAAATTTTTTTTGTTTCTCTCTCTATATATATACACACAAATGGTATATAACTAACTACATGAAAACTCTCTCATCTCTAGTTGCATAAAATACATAAGATAGAAAATGAAATTATAGTTCATGATATGGTTTTGGCTTGATGATGTTGTAAAAGTTGATCAAGACGAGTTTAAAGTTGAATCTAATCATAAAATTATATAAATAGGGTTTCAGAAAGGTGAATCCAGATCGATGGGAATTTGCAAGTGAAGGGTTTCTTCGAGGGAAAAAGCATCTCCTCAAGACCATAAGGAGAAGAAAGACAAGTAACAATAGTCAAATGCAACAACCTCAATCATCTTCTCAACAACAATCTCTAGATAATTGTGGCATAGAAGTTGGTAAGAATGGTCTAGACGGAGAGATGGACTGCTTAAGGCGAGACAAACAAGTGCTGATGATGGAGCTAGCGAAAGTGAGAAAACAACAACAAAGCACCAAAATGTATCTTACATTGATTGAAGAGAAGCTCAAGAAAACTGAATCAAAACAACAACAAATGATGAGCTTCCTCGCCCGTGCAATGCAGAATCCGGATTTCATTCAGCAGCTACTTGAGCAGAAGGAGAAGAGGAAGGAGATTGAAGACGCAATCAGCAAGAAGAGACAAAGACCGATCGATCAAGGGACAAGAAATGTGGTTACTGTGGAAGATAATGATGATGATGGCCGTGGTGGTGGAAGTGGTTATCGAAGGTATGGGAACGATGCTGGATCCTCCTCGGTATTTGCTGATATGAAACAAGAAACATATGGAGACATGTCTGAATTCGAGATGTCGGAGTTGGACAGACTTGCTATGCACATTCAAGGACTTGGAGATCAGTCCAATAGGGAAGATGTACTGGATGTGGAAAAAGGAAATGGACAAGAACAACAACAAGGAGGGTATGAAATGGAGAGTAACGAATTTTATGGTGAAGCTTTTTGGGAAGATTTGTTAAGTGAAGGTCAAAATTTTGATTTTGAAGGATATGAAGAAAATGTTGATGTGCTAACTGAGCAACTTGGTTATTTGGGTTCTACTTCACACTAATTAGGAAGAAATTGAAAAAAAAAAGAAGAAGAGTACTTAAGCATTTGAATCAACTTGTTTCCTATTAGATATTTGGCTTTGTTTCAATTAGGTGAGTCAATATGGACTAACTTATTGAATTTTTGGGTTAAATCATGTTGTTTCTTTTGATGTTTTTCTTTTTCGAAATAAAATTGTTTCTTAATTTATTATAACTAATTTTGTATCATGCACAGGGTTCCTAAAAGTTTTCCAATATATATTTTTCTTGATCAAATTATATTTGAATTTTTTAAGAGATTTTTATGATATAATTCCGTTACATTTGAAGTTTAAAACTCTTATTTGAACAAGGTCAAATATATAATAGAATAAACTGTCAAAAATTTGTTAAGATTATTCTTAAATTGATGAAAACAAAAAAGACGCAAATCTTTGAGATTTATATGACGAATAGTGCTTTCTTCTTGATAGATTAAAACGTTTATATATGTAAATTGTGTTTATAAAAAAAAAAAATATAGTTTTACTTGATTTTTTTTTTTGTTGTCAACGGTTTTACTTGGTTTTCTGATTTGAAGTTGAAATTTAATTCATTAAGTCGACCAAAAAAGAAGCATACATACATTTTACCGACAAAAAAAAAAACATACATTACAAGTCTTTGTAAATGAATGTATGATGCAAAAAGAGGCATACAGTTGTTTGAACTAGTTATATTCCTAAGAAAATAGTGAAATTATCAATATTAGTACATAGATTCACTGCTAACACGATATAAGCTATAACAGTCCGTATAAAACCACACAAAGTACTACACCGTATTGTGAGTTATAACTTATAAACGATAAAAATACAACTGGTTTATATTGTTTCTTACTAAATTAGAAACTAAATGTATTTTCTAATTTGTTATGTATAATCAACATAATTTCAAGATACAGACAGATTATCCCGCTCTAAAGAATAACCAATATAGATAAGCGTACTGGTGACCTACACTGTGGTTGACTAGTGGATGAAGTTTAGATCTGAAGAGAACAATTATTCAGTTAATCTCGTGCTACGTACTAATAGTTTAATATAAACAAAAAAAAGCAAATTCGACTAGTGTAAGACAACACTGAAACACGGCTCAAACTTTTCATTTGGCTTAACTTTTCCATTTACACACTTGGTACTGGAATCACACAGCACCTTCTAGGCTTCTCTACCTTTTGACTGCTCCATATATATTCTTTTAGTATTTCTTTTACAAGTAATTAATTTTTTTTTCTCGTGTTGCGGAAATGGCAAGCTATCCACTGGCTTTTGATCCTGTCATATCATAATTGTCTGAACATTTTTCCCGAAATAGAAAACCACCAGATCCAATTTGCTTGACACTTTTGATGTGATTATCAAAATTTTAGCAATAGGGACAAAACAGAACAAAATTAGCGGTTAACAGAAAACAAAATGATTAGAACAGAAAATAAGGTTACAGTTGCAATACGTCAAAAGATAGTTGTGCGATGATAAGTCTAATGAGTCGAACAATTTGATTACATTTTTAATTAATTGATAGCATTTAAAAAAAAAACAAAAAAAACTATGAAATATAAAATAAAGCATTAGTAGTAAATAAAGAAATGCTTACTGTTTTGGCTGCCTAAAACTGTTTTTTTTATCAATCACCTTCTCATGTATATATGCGCTTGAGATCTTCTTTTATCCCATATAATCGCTATAGTGACACAGAAAAAATTTGATAAATATTTTTGGTAAATATAGAGTGTTAACCTCAAGACGGGATGCAAAATCTATTCAGTAGAAGTTACCGTTGGATATAATTATGGAAAGAGACTGCAAACAACTTGTGGACCTGGATGAGAGAAATCTCTAGAACAAGTCGATGGACAATCTAATCAATGACATTCGATGGTGGGTACATAATAACGATTTACGGGATAAGATTCTGACTAGTGTCTCGACTACACAACAGAGTGGCAGATAAACTTGCTAATTATCGACCTGACGTTCCTGACCAGTGTATTCAACGATTATGCACCAAACCCTTATATATATATATATATTAAAAGATGATGTTAAAATAAAATTATATATGGTTGAAAAGAGAAAAATCTAACACTAGATCACGAATCTATTAAAAAAAAAACAGTAACAGAAAAAGGAAGATTGGGTGATGAATCATGATTATTAATTAAGGAATGGACAAACAAAAAAAAAAAAAAAAAAAAAAAAAAGGAAAAGCAAACGACAATGGTAAGTGGGAGTCACGTAAATTCTGTTCCAGACGTTGTCTGATTAATTTTAAGATTGCGTATGCACGTGCTCTGCTGTTTCCTCATGACTCACTGAGTCACTTTTGCTCCCTTCACTACTACAAATTGAGCTTTTTATTGGATTTTGCCCATATCAGATTCACACACTTCTTTCGGACTACTTAAATTCTACTGATCATATAAAACTCTTTATTGGTGTCACGTGAATCGTATAAGTAATCAAATTTATTAATATGAAAGAGGAACAATGCTTTAAGACCATAAACAGACTAATCCTTTTACCTTTTGCATTTGCATGCATTTAGAAAATGAAGGCTTGCCAATGGAAGCTATTGGCCCAATGCATGGGTCAGTATGGGCCATGTTACTTTGCTTTTTCATCACAGCGTTTCTTACTACTAGACACCATTTCTTTTTCAACCACACTCTACGCACTGTTTTTCTTGCTGTATTTTGATTCTCGCATCTTTTGGGCCTATTGTCATTTTTTCTGCAAAAATTGTTTTTTGTGACAACATAAAGTATTTTATTATTTGAAACGTGAATTATAGTGTTTGTGTATATAAATGTAATATCTATATAGGGTTTCATACAACTAGAAATTGTAAATGTAAACATGAAATAAAGTTTGTGTATACAATTTATAAATGATTTTTCTATATATATTTACAATTCTTATTTCACAAAATAAAACACATTATTGTAGCATGTAAAATGTAAACACAAGTGCTAATCCAAACATAAAAAAACAAGATGAAATATATCTGACGTATAAACTCTTGTACCATATATACTATCCTCACTAAAAAGAACCCTTGTGTTTTATTTGGTTGTATATATTGAATTCTGTTGTTGTTAAAGTAATTTTAAATGTATCTTGAGTGATTTATTTATCTTAAGCATTAGATCCATCATGTCACCTTTTTAACATGAATTCGGTAAGTTTATTATCTTATCCAACATTGAAATTCTAAACTCGTCATGATCAGTTTGAACTTTCCCTGATAATTTTTACCAAAAAAAAAAAACTTTCCCTGATAAAGTAGTCGGACGTATTTCTTGTATTATGTATGTTTTGTTTTTCAATTTATTATGTTTGTTTTAATCAAATAAATTTTTCAAAAAAATTCCCAAGAATCACCACATGTTTCAGGAACACGTCCCCACTTTTTTTCGTCGGCAAATGATAAAGAGTGTCTTCTTCTTTTTTCAATGAACAATAAATGCAAAAGTTGAGTGCTTGTGAAAGGGTGTATTCTTATTTTGTTAATGTTAGGTTTGCAGTTATGGAGTCGACGACAGGCCATTAATGTTGTTGGCCTTGTAAACAAACAGAAAGAGGGAAATTGAGAAAGCTGTGATTCACATAATCAATTTACATTACTTTCAACATTTTGTATAATTTAATTTCATAATAATATATTTGAACACCACTGCTTTAACTGATTTCAAAGTGTTTAACCCAAAGTTTCAAAATGTCACTAATACATACGTAAAAGACACACACTCACACAGTAGGTCTAACACACAGAGCAAACCAGATTACTTTACAAGACACATGCAGGGGCAAAACTAAAATATAACATCCTCCCCAAAAAAAAGTAAATTTCCTTTCCTCAGACAAGGGTCCCACCCTTGACGAACTCAGTGAACGCCAAAGCGACCAAACCGAGCATAGCGAAACGCCCGTTCCAAAGCTCAGCGTCTGACGTCATGAAACCGTCGGATTTTGACTCGACTGTTATGCCCTTGAAAAGCGGCACAAGAGACGCGAGAGTCAAGATAGCCGTTGTGCCGAGGAACCACGAGACTCCACCGTCGGAGATCTGAGCGAAAACGTTTTCACCTTTGGATAGTTCAACCGCTAACGCCGCAACGAACCCAACCATCGCTAAACGTCCGTTTATCCTCTCTGGTGCTGGACCGCTAAACGCTAGCAAGTCGGTAAACTTGGTGCTCACCTAATATTTCGCCAACCCACAATTATTAGTTATCACTACAAATTTTTATGTTTGATATACGTAACCTTCATCATATTTCCGCGATCTTGTGCGTTTTAAGGTAATATGAAATTCAGTTTAAAAAATAAAAGTGTGTCTACTGATTTTAGAGAAGATAATTTTGTTAAATTTGTGTAAGAGTTAGATTAATAATAAAGGACACGACTGATAATCATCTTAAAATAAAGATATATTTAAGTGTTGTGTGTGTGCGAATCTTAAAGAATGTTAAAATTTTATGAAATGAAAAGAGTAAAGAATTGTTTATAGAATAACATTAAACGAATAATTAAAAAGAATAAAGAATTGTTTATAGAATAACATTAAACGAATAATTAAAAAGAAATGATACTTAATTAACCAAGAACAAATGATACCTTAGGTTTAATAGGAGTTGGAGGAGGAGGAGGTGACGATGACTTAGGCAAAGGCTGAGCCGCCGAGGTCGAAGGTGCAGACTCGTCTTTCGTGGGATCTCCCTGAAAAAGTCAAACAAACACACGGTTAGGATCTCATATCAATACAACGACCGTTGGATTAGGAGAAATGGATGAATATATACGTACCTCAGCCATGCACCTCACTCCCACGGGATAATTCCTCTTGAGATTAGGGAAGTTTCCGGCGGAGAAAAGCTTGTTGGTGTTGATCTTGCGAGTGGTCAATCCACCGGCGAAGACTGATTGCATGTTAAACGACGCCGTTGCCATTTCTTAAGCTTGTGTGAAATAGAGGAGAATCTTAAAGTGTGAAAAGCACTTAGGTTATAAAAAACTTTAAGTTGGATCTTGTGTAGAAGCTTGATATGAGTAATGAAGTATCAATATGTATTTATAGAAGGGGTTGATGAGAAATGATAGGTCGAGTTGTTTCGTGAACTTTCTTTAGGTTTTTTACTTATTTAGCCTTTCATGTGATTAATTAGTTCAAAAGTTAAAATAAACAAACGGTCAAAAATATAACACATGAAAACGTAGATCTCAGCCGTTGTTTTCGTTTGTTCGATTAATTGAACTTTAACATATAGGTGAGTTAAATAAATATAGTGCAAGTGTTTAAGAGAGGGTTCTTGTATTGCCTTGTCATATGTTCATTATACATACAAATTTTCAAATAGCTTACTAGTATTGGAACATGACCGAATATAGACATCCATGCGCAATGCATCATGCGTGTTATTGATACAAATTTTAGGAGTAGTAAATCAAATGTGTCTATGCAAAATTAGTCGGTACAATTCATCTTCGTTACAGTTTCAGAGGAAGTACATGCTAATTATTTTATTTGGATCTTCCAAATTCCAACATTTTTGGAACTTCGAAATATTTGTTTAATTTTGTTATGACAAAAGTGAATAGTAGTACTTGGCCGCTCCAAAAAGAAACACGTAGGCTAAAAAGTGAAAAAGAGGAAGCTGCGATATTTAAAGAACCACGTTGCTATAGATTGCCCCACGCATAAAATGAAAACTTTTGAAGGAAAAAAGAACAAAGTAGTCGACGACGTGTCGTTCTTCTTCGTCACAAGCTTCTTCTTCTTCTACCTTTTTTTGCCAAGTGGGTTTGGTAACAAACGTAAACAAGATTCTCTTCATCTCCCAAAATTCATGTGGCTCACAACAAAACTTCATAAACATTATTACGTTCGTTTCTAGAAGAGCATTACACATCTTTTTCTTTTTTTTTTTTGCTGTTGGAAGTTAGCGAAGTTGGGATCCAGTGAGGCCCATTTTTCTCTGTCCGAGTCCGTGACCTGACTCTCTTTGTCTCTGACTACGTGGCCCATCTTAGCTCCATCAACTTTTTAACGGTCATTTCGATATTTCAATAACTTTACAATTCAGTATTTCTCCTTGTATTAATATGCAAGGAGATGAAAAAGTAGTCATGATAAATCTGCCAATGGGAGCGTTACAACTTGAGATCTTTCATTAGTTGATAGCAACTAACATGCCGTAAATTAAGCTGGCTCTTGGGTCCAAATATTTAAATTTTGAGAAATTTGTTAAGTTTTCGATCAATCGATTAAATTTAAAAGGTGGGGTTGATGTACTGAATCTTATATGATTTGCGAACAAACTATCTTCTTAAAACTCTAGCAAAGAATCTTCACGTATGAGATAGCTTTTATCATCAGGTTGTCTCACAGAAATGTTCTCATTTGTTGGATTATGAGACTGTTTTCTCTTTTGCCTTATGCCAGCAAAATAGTTTTGTTAAGTCATGAGAGGAGTTTAAAGGAAGTTAAAGAGCATACGATTGAAACACAGTACGTAGTATCTTACTCTTTCTACGTAGACCGTTAGAAGATAAATGATATATTTGTGTAAAAGTTTTATCCAAACTTTGATTTAAACATCTAATATTTAGCAAATATGTGTGTGTGTTGTACTTGCTTTGCAGACAAATTAAATACGATCTCTGAGACTCTGACATTATCAATGTACTTATTATAGATAATAGATTTGTTGACACTGTCTATGTTCACGTCGGGGATATTCATAATATCTCACGTTACCATACCTTAGTTCTATATAGTTCATGTCTATTAACCAAGTTTGTATTCTCTATTAAAATTTCTGATTACGAATTGCAATAGGAACAAAAGGCCCAAATATGTTATCTATCATAATCTGTATACTTACAATTTCCACAGATACAGAAAAACCAGCTGTGAGTTTACACTTTTGTTCAATTCTCTATTTCATTGAAAAATAGTACATATATTTCCTCATCTTATTTGAATATATTGGAAGATCAGGCATACCAAATTTGTCACATATGCTTTGACTCTTTGACATGACGCATACTCATGAGGATGCCGAATTGCTGATGTAGCTGCTTCTTTGATGGTATGCAAACATATGCGAGTCTCCAAAACCAATTTGTTCTGGATCAAAATAGGGTTGGTGCAGATCGGATATCCAAATTTTTTTTAGTATTTGTTGTTTGCTCCGTTTTTAACGGATATTTAATTTTATGATTGATTTGTTTCTGAAATATACGGATATCCAGATTTTTGGATATATAAAAAATTCACAAGTATTTGCAGATATTTACAAATATTTATGAATATTTAGTTTGATCCGTTTAATATACACAAAACTGAAAGTACATCAATTTTTATTATAAAAAGTATGTTTCATCTAAACTATTAAGTAAAAATAACTAAAAGAATATATTTTATTTTATAAAAAAATCTACAAAAAATAAACCTACAAAATTAAAATGAAGAAAAATGATATTTTATACTTAAAAATAATATTATCTAGTTGAAATTTTAATATTAAACTTTACTAAAAAAATCTTTGTTGATATTTATTAACTAATATAAAATAAAATATTATTTATTAACATATTTTAAGTTTAAATATATTTTTTTATGATTTGTTATTTAGTCATTTATTTTATATAATCAAAAAAATTTAGAAACAATTGAAAATTTAGGAAGAAAATTGAGAGTATATTAATAAAAGTTATAATATAATTGATATATACATGATAATATATAGTAATATATAATAAATTTATAAAGATACGGATCGGATCGGATCGGATATCCAATGTTGTCTAAAAATATATTTGTGATTTGCTCCGTTTTGTACGGATACTACATTTTGCTATTTATTTTGCTCGAAGCTTTACGAATATCCAGATTTTTCGAATTGAATCGAAGTAAATATCGATTCGAATCGGATATATCAGATATTTTGCCCACCCCTCAACAATACTACTATATAAAAAAAAGTTTTTTTAAAAGTGGTCATATCCATAACCAATTTCCAAAGTCAATTTTACCAGAAGGAAAAAAAAAATTTCCAAAGTCAATAAAAAAAGTGGTCATATTCATAATCAAATTAATAATTGTAAAATTAAAGCATAATTTTTATATGGTAACACAATGAAATGAAAGGTGAAAATTTAGATTTTGTTCCGACCAAAAAATTTGTTTTCTTAAAATCTAATGCATTTAACTAGTTCGTCACTTTTTTTTGACATATTACCGTAAATCCCAATAATGTATTTGTTTGGTGCATTTTCATTTCTTTTTTAGTTCAAATTGAACCGGAATCCAAACCGAAAATTATATCAAAACTACATATGATTTGGTAAATATCTCAAAATTTTCTTCTTCCTTCTGTAAATCATCTTCTTCTTTTTACCAAAAATAAAATAAAAATACATATGATTTGGTTTTTGTTTTGGTGATATTTGGATTTAATTTGCACAGTAAAGTGTGGAGTTAAGTTTTGTAAAACTGAAAATCGAGAATTTATGCGAAACTAAACGCATAACGTAACGTATCCATAAAAAAATCACTCAGAAAAATTTTGTTTTGGAGGAAAAATTTGACCCAAAAAAATAAAGTTTTAATGAAAGTTGGGGAAGAAATAATTATCTCAAAAAAGTGTTTTAAAGACCAGAAGCCGTTGACCAGCTCCAAAATCTCATCGTCTCGTCATAAACCGGTTTTGGTTTCTGGTTTAGTCAGCTACGCGCAATAAAATTCCTCTGTCTTCTTCTTACGCTCGGCGAATTTTCTCTGAGAAACAAACCGAAAATTTTGATCGAAGGAGAGAGTAATAAGATCTGAAAAGAAAGATGGAGAGCAGACAAGCGAGTAACTCGAAGATCCATGTCTTTTTATTGGCTGGTCTGATTCTATTGAGCTCGATCGATCGAATCTCGTCTCTCTCGGTGACCGTGAACGACGACGAATGCGTCCAAGAGTACGTCCTTTACGAAGGAGACACTGTCTCCGGAAACTTCGTCGTCGTCGACCATGATATCTTCTGGGGATCAGATCATCCTGGTTTGGATTTCACGGTGAGACAGATCTTTGAAAAATCCGATTTTGCTTCCGTCTGATTCCATTTTCTTCGATAATCCCGATGCTTTGAATGAATGTTTTGTTAAATAGTTTATCCCGTTTGAATTTTCGGATTCGATTTTTGGGTTTCTGTTGTCTTGTATTCGTGATTCTCTCATGCTTGATTTTGCCCTGATCTGATCTTCGAATTTAGGGTTTGATTGGAATTGTTGAATTTGACCTCTTTTTCGATTGGTTTAGGTTTTTTTGCAATTTCGTTGGCTAATGCTAAGTCAATTTGTGTTTTTTTTTGTTCATGTAGGTGACATCTCCTGCTGGGAACATTGTACAGACATTGAAAGGAACATCTGGAGATAAGTTTGAGTTTAAGGCACCAAGAAGTGGAATGTATAAATTTTGTTTCCACAACCCTTACTCTACTCCTGAAACTGTCTCTTTCTACATTCACGTTGGTCACATTCCAAACGAGCATGACTTAGCCAAAGACGGTTTGTTCCATATTCCCTTAAGATATTATTAAGATTTCCATTGCTGCAATTGGATAAAGTTTTGGCCTTTGCATTGAGTTTTGGATGTTTTTGTGTTTAGCTACTTTCTTGATGCCATTGTTCCTCTTCCTTTTCTTGTAATGTTTCTCAGAACATTTGGACCCGGTTAATGTCAAGATCGCTGAGCTTAGAGAGGCTTTGGAATCTGTTGTTGCTGAGCAGAAGTATTTGAAAGCACGTGATACTCGTCACCGTCATAGTGAGTTCCTCTCTGTTTATTGAATAGTTATGTGCTCTTAGGAACCAAAAGATGCAACCTTTACGATGTAAACATTCCCTTGTGTGATGGGTTTTTGCTTTTTGGAACTTTTGTTGCAGCTAATGAGAGCACGAGAAAGCGAGTGATATTCTACACAGTAGGAGAGTACATTTTCCTTGCAGCAGCAAGTGGTCTTCAGGTTCTTTACATCCGTAAGCTCTTCAGCAAGTCGGTTGCATACAACAGGGTTTAAAGTTGTGTCCTTTTATATGTTCGATTGGTGAACAAATCATCAAAGTTGTTAGTTAAATTAAGTGCTTAATAGCGAAAGACCCGTTTTTTGGTTTTTGGTTTCTACAATTTTCTTTGGCTTCAGTTTACTTACGTTTAACATGAAGAACTTAATAAGCTCCATTCTTATTCATGCCATCGATCTTGCTTTTATCATGGTTTGCTGGTCTCAAAACAATTAAACCCATGTCCAATTTATCGTCTTCGAGATGAGCAATTAGCTTAACGTGCGAGGAGGTTCCGTAATGATACCTAATAAAACCACATTAAACAAAAAGAAACTTGCTATCTTTTTGGTGGGTAAAAGAAAATTATGTTCAAACAATATATTTGTCATACAAAAATATCTTGAAACGTGGAGGAAAGGGACCGAATATTTCTATATTCCATTCCAAGAAACGAAATCCTCTATTGAAAATCTGCCATTTGTTTATAGATAAGTTGCCCATTCAACGATCGTAAAAGTCACTTTCTCTCTACTTTCTTGATCTCTCGCTCTGTTTCACTGATTGTGATCGAGAAGAAAGAACAAAAAATGTTGGCGATTTTCGACAAAAACGTGGCCAAGAGCCCTGAGGCTCTACAGAATCCGGAAGGTGGATCGGTTTGTGCTCTTAAAGATGGGTTCTTGCCGAACCACTTCGCCTCCATTTATCCTGGTGCTGTCACCATCAATCTCGGATCTTCTGGTCTCATCGCTTGCTCCCTCGATAAGCAGAACCCTCTTCTTCCCAGGTTTTTGCATTTTTTACAATAAAAAAATTGGATTAATTTGTTCACGATGAGATGTCTAGTGGGCAATTCTTGGTATTGGCTTGCTTGTGAGTAGATTCCTAAACATTTTATGGATTTGATCTTTATTTAGTTATGTCTTTACTTTATGATTTGTTCACTGAGAGATTAAAGTCATTGATCTGTTGTATATCATCCTAATGTGTCGTTGTCTTGGTTCTTGATATATAGACGCAAGAATGAAAATGTTGTTCATGATCTTGTGTTGGGGTATAGTGTTGATCAAATCAATTTGTGTGTGTGTGACAGATTGTTTGCAGTGACGGATGATATGTTCTGTATCTTCCAAGGACATATAGAGAACATTCAATTCTTAAAGCAACAATACGGACTAACAAAAACATCAACAGAGGTGACCATTGTGATCGAAGCATACAGAACACTAAGAGATCGTGGTCCATACTCTGCAGACCAAGTCGTCAGAGACTTCCACGGCAAGTTCGCGTTCATGCTCTTTGACTGCTCCACTAAAAACGTCTTCCTTGCTGTGGTGAGATTGGTTTCGCTTTTCTTTTCTCGAACTTTGATTATCTCTGTAAAACTAAAAAAAGGTGTTTGTTTATATGCAAAATGTGCAGGACGCAGAAGGAAGTGTTCCTCTCTTTTGGGGAACAGATGCTGAAGGTCATCTCGTTCTTTCTGATGACGTTGAGACTGTGAAGAAAGGTTGTGGTAAATCCTTTGCGCCATTCCCTAAAGGTAAAAGACTTACTCATATCTCATTGTTGTTGGGATCTAATGTGTGTATATGAATTTTGAGGATTGTGTATTTGCATTGTTATGCAGGATGTTTCTTTACTTCATCTGGAGGCTTGAGGAGCTATGAGTATCCGTTAAACGAGTTAAAACCTGTACCGAGAGTGGACAGCTCTGGTGAAATGTGCGGTGTAACTTTCAAAGTTGACTCTGAGGCTAAGAAAGAAGGAGCAATGCCTAGAGTCGGTAGTGTTCAGAATTGGTCTCAGCAAATCTGAGGCTAGACTGAAAAAAAGGTCTTTTGATCTTTACTGTGTTGGACTCTGTGGCTTTGTTCCACAGATTTGAGATTTTCATCGTTTTTACTACTCTCATTGGAGCCGTTTCTAAGGACTCTGTATTTGGTAATAAGAAGAAGCTAATAATAAAAGACTTATAAACGTTTTAATTCAGTGCATACATATGATAAAATAGTATAGCTAGTCACGAGTAATGTGACTTCCCATGGGTAAATATGGTTTTAAGCATAATAGAAATAAGCAGGGTGATAAAACACAGACATAAGAGAGAGGAGCTTCTCTATGCTTGCTTCTCTAGTCCTTGGCATCTGAAATGCCTCCTGGAGTAATCTGGAAAATGTGATTTCTTCCGTTAAGGAAAAGAAATAAACGTGATGCATTAATGGATGTTTATAATCGAAAATCAATCAAGTGGGTTTAAAAAGGATATAGCTTCGGCTTCAGGGAGATTTGGTGCATCGAAGACTTTGCAGACACGTTGTTCTCCTTTGCCTTTCCTGAAACTGAGCCTTATGGTGGCTGCGTGAGCAAGAACGTGACCACCTGCTGGTTTCTTTGGATCTGATATGAACATTCCACCGCCTGGATCAGCTATAACTGCAAACCACCAAAAATGGAAAAAAGATGATGATACTTGTTTCAGTTAGTGCAACCAAGATAAACCAAAAGAATCGATTCTCTTATTCTCTAGTGTAAAAGCAACAAAAAAAACCTTGGTTGGTCATGTAGATAGCAACGTTGAATTCCTCTGCGATTTTGATTAGCCTTGAGAGCATCTGAGCTAGCTTTTGCTGTACCACAGAAACTGGACTTTTTGAGAAACTTTGTTAATGATTATGTGTAGTAATGTGTGGGAGGCAAAGGTAAACCTGACGGTCTGCGAGTTCTCCTCTTCCAGTGAAATCAACTCGGAACAAAGCAATGACCGAATCAACAATCTGGAAACATGGTAAGCTCAAGCTAAATTAGCTCATACTCATAGGAAACTTGGAGGATAAAATAAGGAAGACGTTTAAGTACCAGAATCCTAAAGGGTTCCTCAGACATTTTTGCAGCAAGGCCAAGAAGAAGGTTGTACTGATGCTCATAGGTGTAAGCGCGGGCGTAAATGATCTGTTACAACCAGATGAAACGAGTTGTGAATATTATCATTTCTAGTCCTGAGAGTTAAGATGTGAGCTTAAATTATATGCTTACATTATCAAGCACGGCTCCTGGATCCATTCCAAATCTTTCAGCAATTGGGACAATCCGATCAGGGCGGCTACAGATTTCAGGGTTAAGGAAGAACAATCATGAAATATAAAACCACCTGATGAAGCTACAAGATCTGGTCTCTAAAGATTTTCACGAAAGTATTAAGGATACAAGGTTCCCTCAGTGTCAATGTAAGCCACTTTTCCATTCCCTCCTTTCATGTTTGTAGGCAGCTGCAATACATAAATCCAGAAATGAGTACTAGTGGCAGTGAGAGACTAAGACCTCTATGGTTATATGCTGATAGCCTTTGAAAGTTAAACAAAACACCATAACAATTAATTCATATTGAGACATTAGGAAAGAAACCAACCTGCGTCGTGACACAAAGGGTATGTGCTAGTTGAGTTTTCCCAGACCTTAAGTAAAATTAATCTCTATTAGAATACAAGCTATTGACAGGGAGCTTAGAGACCTGAGCTATGCTTCTCACCTGAATTCCCCAAAAGCCTCTGTGATGGCTGAGGTCTCAATTCCACCTGCCAAGCGTTGTGGAAAACATTAAACCGGAACTCTTAAGTAGTTTGATCAAGATGACAAACAGTAACAGCTAAATTTAGTATACCTCCTAAGAGATCATCAAGAGCTTGGCAACCTGTAGTGATACGCACAACTGATTTTCTCTATAAACAAAAAACAAGGTTTCAGTATCCAATACGAAATTGCTGAACAAGCCATCAAAATCTCAAGGATCTGTTACTGGGAACAAGCAACAGGACGTAGATGCAAGACAGGCTTGTAGTACTTAGTAAAATCAATATGTCTAACCTTTAGAAGAGCATCACTTCCAGTCATATATCCAAAATTCTGTAGGAAAAATGTCGTGAGAGTTAAAATGACAGACAATGCGAGAATTGTAATACGAGACATTGTTTAGCAACAACAACAGTTGAAGAACCTTGAACTCACCACTATTTTCTCAGCGGCTTCACAGATTTTGTCCACTTTTGCCTCGGATAAACCTTTGATTCCAGTGAGGTTCTGTGTCAATTTAAACAATAGACTCATCAACCAAAATCAAGATGGTGTAAACCCAATGATTGATGCTAAACAATCCTCTATGTACCTTCTTGGTATGCATCATCAGCCCATTGCAGGTATGGATCCCAGCATCTTGTAGTTTCTTCACATCCCCAGCGTTTATTCCTTGAGCGATCACTGGCACAAGCAAATAAAAATCACGATACGAAACTAGCAAGAGGTTTGAGCCAGATATAGAACTCAATCGGAACCAAATACAGTAGAATCTCACGAATAGCACAACAAATAGATGTAGATTAATGCTTGCCCGTAAGCTATTCGCTATCAAGGAAGATATATTCTCAGAACAAATCGATATGTATCTTAGATTCACGTTTAAAACTGAAATCAAGTAGATATTTCGAGAATATGTTCAGGATTTGAGGTAGAATTCTAGATCTGCATCGTAGGACCCAGAAATTCAGCAGAAACGAAATCTAAACAAACAAACTGGTGAAAATGGAAGAGATAACAAAGAGAGACCCATTCCTAAACAGAAAAATGAAAATTCGAGGAAACGTCAAAAGATATTTGAATAAGCGAACAGAAATCGAAGCTCCTAGGAACAGTATAGCTAAAACAGGCGAAATCTGAAAGCGGAAACAGATTTTGATCTTACATTTGTCGATCGCTTCAAATAAGTCATCGTCTTCATCGAGTTCTTCTCGCTCAACGAGCTGCATCTGGCTCGCGTCTTCAGCTCTATGACAGAAGATCATCGGGAAAATAAAAATAAGCAAACGAGATGAGTTTCGGAATCTTAGATACACGAAACTGAAGACGAAGCTAAACGAAAACGATGATAGCAGAGATCAATAACTTACTTGAGAGCAGCCATCATACTCGCCCTGGAGATTTTAGCTCGAAACGAGAGAGAGTGTGAGAGAGAGAAATAGAAAGTTGAAATTTCAGGTAATCGCTGGATTTTCACGGAGGATTTAGGGATTTATACGGCGGGAAGCGGAACTGAGGAGTGACAAAAAATTCCGTTGAGTCGAAAAATATTTGAAACTTTTTGGAATCCGTATTCTGTTAACGGAATTTGTTAGACGGGCACTGTTTGATTTTAAGTTAGACGGATACGATCGCGCCACGTCAGATTGATCGACCAACAATTTCAATCGACGGTCAGATATAAAAGCTTGTTGGAAAATATCTACCACTTGCATCGCATCACAGCGGCGCACAATATACATCTAACGAATGCTGCTGCTATAGTTAACCGAATTTGAAATTTAAACCAATTTGATGCGCTTTTCAACATCCAAACGAAACTATTCCAGGCCCAATAATTCATTTTATCATTGAATCTTAATAAATAGTTGGGCCTTTTCATAACAGCTGGGCCATTCCAGGCCCAATAATTTAATTTGATCCCGGTATAGGTAGTTCAACTGTATTTTTGCGATTTTTGTTTGGATTCTACAAACTATAAACCGGTTATTTCCCACAAATCAAGATACATACATAAAACCGGATGCTATAAGTTTAAAAGTACTTCACATCTTATATGTTTGATAATGTTTTCACCGAAGCAAGGGGCATTCGGATCGTTCATGACCTTTATTAACGCTACTTTATCATTCCTCGGATTTAATTTTCACATTTATTGATCTAATCTATTTATATTTCTTGTCAGAACTATAGTATATGCATATTACTATGACATATCTTTCTCCTCTTTTTTTGTGCATATATACTTAATAATATCACATTGATTATTAAAAGAAAATAACCATAGAAGCTCTCTATTGTAAAGGTATATGTGGTTGGCTAGATACAGACAGAATAGGGTCGATTGAAAGAGCACATGGATACTCAACGAATCTCCCATATCAAAAGAAGTGGATTACAAAAGAACCATTTTAAAAAAAAAAAACTTTGGAGTATAGGTTATCTTTATATAAATTATAGATATATCTCTTACTTAGCATATGCACTTCCACTATATCATACCATCATATAATTAAATGTTTTTAAAAAAATCCTTTCTGATGGACATAAATATAATAACCGTACTCTACAGTATGAGTAAGAAATTATACATTTGGGTTATGTACTATATTTTCCGTAAATGAAACTCTGACATGGAGTAATAAACCGGTGTGTGTAATCAAAGCATTAGAATTGTGGGACAAGTTCCAACAAATGGTAAACTTATTCATATGGTGGTGCTTTAGGTTTAGAAGCTTCGTCAAAATTAGGGTTTACATATATATATTTAGATGAATTTGACAAGAGTGTTCAAAGCACAAGAGCTATATCTACACAATTTCGAAATATATCGCAGTAATAATCATGGAAAAATAAAAATAAAGAGAAGCTTACGTTTATGGGTGTGAATCTATAAATGGGATGTTTCCTCCTCAGTAAACACTATTTTTTTTAAAAATAAAAACAGGAAAGGGGACCATTTGCATGTTGCATCTAATATTACACATAGACTCAGCCCCACTTGCATATACACTACTCCCCACTGCGACCCACCAAACGTAGCCGTTTTGGTAAACTCCATGCTCTAGTCTAGGTACGTACAAGTTACAAAACCACCAATATATATGTATGTATCCATGGTCCTAGCTAGCTAGCTACAACTCTTAGGGTACACATACCGGAGCCATCATCATCAGTTTATCATCGACATTGATATATCATGATGATCATCATCACCGTATCTCTCTCTCTCTCTCTCTCTCTCTCTCTCTCTCTCTCTCTCTCTCTCTCTCTCTCTCTCTCTCTCTCTCTCTCTCTCTCTCTCTCTCTCTCTCTCTCTCTCTCTCTCTCTCTCTCTCTGCTCAAGTTTATGTAGCAGTGGCAGTAATGTGGGTGATACGTTTGTATAAAGCTGGAAAGCAACATTTGGATCCACTCTCTGTTGGTTCGAGCATGCTTCTTTTTTAACTCTTCTCATGTATTCTCTCTACATATATACATATATATATTTATCACAAATTAAATTGCAATTTGTGACATGAACCGACGAGCTACTAGTATTTTATTTTAGTGATGAAAATAAGAATATACTATGTTAATTTGTGGACATTAGCGACTAAATCCGTCAAACTATTACTACCTTTATTTCTTCTACATGAAAGGTTTTATAAATTTGGCCCTTTAACAGGAAAAAAAAAGTTTTATAAATTTGCGATCAATATGCTACACAAACACACAAAGTTGGTAGCAATGATCAATAGTGAAAAATATATTGATTTTAACATTTTCTACATAAGATTTGTCGTAAAATCTTTTACATATTTTTAACGTACGTGAATTGAAGTTTTCACGGATTTTTAGTTAGGACATGTATATATGTATATATATAGAGTAATGTCACAATTTGTTTTAGGAATGACCCGTGAAATTTTAGAAGGATTTTATGCAATCCACAAACCTTAATAAAAGTTTTCGAAGATTTCCTAAATACTTTGTAGCATTTTAGGGGAAAACGTGTTTTTTTTTTAGAATTCAACGGCAGCACCAAGACGAATTAACTTAGCTTTACAAAAAATAATTATGAAAATCGACAACAAATTTTGTAGTTATATGCCTGTCGTCTGTAGAATAGTTTTTTGAAAAACATATGCGACTGTATTCAACTTGTAAATATATGAAAGCTTACAAATTAATTGATGCAAATCCCTAACAAAACTTGATAGGGTTTTGAGAATATATATTTGGTAGAAAGTTTCTGAATTCATAATTTATAGAAAATTTACAACTGTGGAAACGTAGTACTTTGTTGAGTTTTATTTTAGTATTTTCTGTTCAACCGAAAGATGGATTAGGTGCATGGTGGAAGGTTATGGATATGACCACTTTTTCTTGACTTTGGATGCAAAGTTAGTGATGTCAATATGTCATCACAATCAAACGACTCTTTATTTAGCATCTAAAATCGCTTTTTAAGAAAGAAAAGAAAAAGACATTTTACATTATATATAGTACCATTTGTATATATTCGATAGATGATCCAAAATCAAAAGATAAGTTCAAGCCTTACATATGTGTGTGATCAAGTAATTCACATTTTGCATACGTATACATCAAAGCATTTGTATCATCATCCTCATCATGAGTCATGTCAAAGCATGTGTGTGACAATTTTTGGTATGCCTGATCTTCGAATATCAAACAAGATGGAGAATAGTACTACTTTTATTGAATAAATAATTGAAACAAAAGTAAAGTCACTTGCAATTATGTTAACAAAAGTACAGGTTTAACAACTAATCAATTAAGTGTGCAAAATCTAGCTTGCTTTAGATCACGAATAATATGGCTCCAAAATTAAACTCGTTTAGGTATTCATCAGACAAGAAATCTAATATTTAAAATAACTTCATCAAAATACTTATTATAATAATAATAACTTCATCAAATTACCGTTATTTAAAACTTCATACTTCGATATATTTGATAATAATTAGGTCTTTGATTGAAGATAGATGACTAACACGCTTGTTAACTATAAACAGCGTGACAAACCAAACTAAAGTGGAAGTTTTCCTTCACCAGAAGCGAAGCTGATGCGAGTAAATTTAAATTTACATATAAGCTTTCTTTTGCAATTAGTGTTTGTGTTGACTTATTGGTACCAAACTAAAACCTTAAAAAAGGAATAATGAAAAAGAAAACTTCTAAACCAATCAGAGGTTTTGCCTTTTTATCTCAACCAAATACAACGAGTCGTTATCAAGGATTGTCCATATCAATAATTTTCAATAGCTTGCAATATCGCGTAGCTGTCACAGACCCAACAGCTTGCCCAGAACCTATCGAATTTTGGGTAGTTTTTGCATAGAAATGGTATCATCCCATTGTTAGTGATAAGGAATCTTTTTTAGGAAAGTTGTTTTATTATTCAATTCGCTTTCTATACATTTACAGCAATAAATAATTAAATAACATCAGCTTCTCGTACTTTATTTATTACATCGATCTCCTGTATAAAATAAACAAGTTGTTGTAATAACATCTACAGCTATTGGCAAAGCGGTAGATTACAAGAACAAATTGTTGTAATGCATGTGTAGTCGGTAACTAAGCATGGATACTGTATATACGTTGTATATAGTTTACTTTTCGAAAACTAAAATATTTTGTGACAAAGACTGGCACTGGAGTCAATAAATATAGATAATAATATATAAATGCACTTAACTGCATAGATCATGGGAATATTCCATATGACCTCCATTAGGTCTCACATGTATTAATTATAAGAACATTCAAAATCCCATGCTTTTTTTTTGGTTTTGAATACTGTATAACTCATAATAAGTTTTTAAAAATATCAATCAACGAATTTTTCAAATTTTTGAAAATAGTTCTAAATCAATTGTAAGAGTGGCTCTAACAATTTTCGATACAAATTGTAGAAATAGTTTTTGATATTTTTGGAATTTTTATAAGACTGCTGCATGTTGGAGAAAAAGGATAATAATAAATAGTATTTCTCGTAAGATTATATATTTTTTAAAATGATTT